TGTCTCTCTCTCTCTCTCTCTCTGTCTCTGTCTCTGTCTCTGTCTCTCTCTCTCTCTCTCTCTCTCTCTCTCTCTTTCTCTCTCTATTTCTTTCTCTCTCTCTCTAATCCATCGAGCCGTTCTTAACAAACTATTACATTCGCACGCACACACTCAAACGCATGTACACACACGCACAAGCACACACAAGCACACACACGCACACACGCGCATTCACACACACACACACACACACACACACACACACACACACACACACACACAAGAACGCACAAGCACACACGCACAAGAACGCACAAGCACACACACACGCACACACACACAGACACGCACACACACATACACACACATATACAACCAAATAGCAACACAAAATATGCAGTCTTCGTCTCACTGGTTCAATTCCCTTCAAGTAATGGTCTAAAGTAATGCTCTCGTATGTCTGATTTGCTTTGTGTCACGCTTCACTGAACGCCTTCTTGATCACCAGTACTCTTCAGAGCGTAACAGTAACAACCCCAACCCGCGCAATGAGAGAGAACCTAGAAATCAGATATTGAGAAATACCTAGGTTTAACGCCCCTTTCAACAGTGTAAGGTAGAGTAAGAGGCAGTGCCTCCGAATTGAACGTCCATCTCCAAGAATAGCCGAGCCAAAATTAATGTGTGGAGAGCCTTAGAAACTCCCTAAAATAACTGAACTTCAGAATCACCCGTTAGGGATTCGAATCAAGGCCATACGCTCCACAGTCCAGCAAGTTAAGACGTTAGCCAGATTCGAAACCTTTCATAACAAGGCAGTTGACGAATTCGTCAAAAGTTGATAATTTTGTTTCACATGCTTCGGTGGAACCCATCCCATCATCCCAATCCAACCTCATGTCCTTCCCAACCTAATTAACTGCACCCCTCCCCACCCCACCCCCAAACAAACATTCCCCACCCATCAAACAGTGACGTAATCTCATTACGTAGCAGTTAAAACAGCAGAAAGGGCAACAACACAAGCAGTGGCAACAGCAGCACGGAATTCATGCGATGGTCGCCATGGCGCTCTGAGATGTAGAAGCAGAGGTTGCGCACAACTAATGTGTTTGACTACACATTATGTACTTGTTACACGTTAAGCTCTTTATGGTGCAAATGCCTTACTTTTATCTTTGCATTCATTCTGTGCGATTTTATTCTTTGCAAATTGTTTACTCCCCGATCGACGCAAATCATGTAATTGTGGCGTCGGTGGCCTAGTGGTTAGGCTCTCGGACTCGCAACCGTAAGGTCGTGGGTTCGAATCCCGTCAGGGGCCCGACGTTGTGTCCTTGGGAAAGACACTTTACACGAATTTTCCTCACTTCATCCAGGTGGGAATGGGTACCCGGCTATAGACAGCGAAAGATCTTGTCAGTTTGTTAGTGTTTGAGCGCTTAATCAGCTGCTTGCACTGTATGCTTCCCGGGAAGCTGAGAATGTTTCGGAGTGTTCTATGGTCTGCTGGGGTAATAATATAGAGTAAAGTGCATAGAGCCTGCTGTTGAGCGGGGATATGTGCTATATAAATGCTATTTATTATTATTATTAATTTGAGATGTGGGCTGCTTCAACCCTGCCTGCTAGAGTCAACCCCAGAAGCATCTCATCAGACAGACAGAAATACACAACAAAATAATATCCCGACTAGGGAATCGAACTCATTTCCTCTGCAGGAAACAGCTAGGAAACTAACCATAACACTACAGACACTGGTATATTTTCATCTCTCAAGGACACAAGTTAATTTTTAAAGAATGCAGCGGACACATATTTATTTATTATATCCAATCAGAAGCAGACCAAAGACAATGTTGCAGCACATTTTGAACCATCATACAATAGTCAGAAACACAAATTTGCGTACTTATGTTATGCATGTTTTTGCAAGCCTTCACTTTTAAGTTTTAGCAAAAGAAATCTAAATAGAAAAACCTGTATGATTGATGAATGTACGCTCTTTTCTAAAAAATAAAAAAAAGAAATGTGTGTACAATATGTCTATAAAATCTCAGCTTGCACTGTGTGCTTTCCATGAAGTTCATATTGTTTTAGAATGCTATCAGGTCTGCTGGGGTAATGCCGTAATATAGATTGCAATGCACATAGTTTGCTGTTGAGCAGGAGTATGCCTTATGCAAATTGTGCTATCTGTAATAATTGTGATTTATTATTATTATTATTATTATTATTATTATTATTATTATTATTATTATTACTATTATTACAATAGTTGCCTAATGACCAAAAGGCAAATCCTCAATGAGTTCAGAGAGGCAAGCGTTATGCTCAGACTAGACTCACACGCCAAGAACATTTTCAGTAGGGTACAACAATCACAATTTGGGTATCTTGGAGAAAAACTCAAGGAAAAACATTCACGTTTGCAAAAAAAAAGTTAGGCAAATTAAGCTTGGAGTGGAGGGGTGGGGGGATCACAAAAAATCGAGTAGACTGTCCGTATTTCTCATTCTACTATCACGGTCACTGTTATCACTAGTACAGATTTGCAGAATTGACGGCAATAGCTATACAGAAAAGCATTTTTTTTAAAAAACGAACAGTTACACCACTGCCCCCGAAAAAAAGAAGAAAAAAAGCCCACCTTAAAACACTGTCAGAAAGTACAATTCAAAAGTCCACCCATGTAAAACATACTTATTTCAAGCAAAGGTCTAAGTGTAACAAACCGGTCCATCATTAGAAATTTATTCTCTTACCGTGTCTGAGAAAATTGTTACTTAAGATTAAACTGAAATTTCAGTTAGTTCGCTTTATAACGATAGATGTTAGTCAAGTCACACCAAAATCACATTATGGTGCCAGACTGGGGATCAGCTGTTATCATACTCACGCCATCCATGAGTGTAGCACTACTAATCCAACGAACTTTCTTAGCCGAAGTCATTACGAATTAGATCTTTGGCTTACTGCAAGGTGAATACAACGTGAGAATAAAAATAAATGTGGGTAATGGAGTTAGAAAATAAAGTTACAGACATGTATACTGACTCTAGTTTGAGGATCTCTTTCTCCTTGCGTCCCCATAGTGTTTTAGATCACTGCCTTTTGGATAAATGACGTTCATATAAAGTATCAGAGCACAATTATAGATCCCTTTTCTGAAAAAGCATCTGTCATAAACGGCTACAAACGATACGAAAAGCACACGATCTTCCCCTAGACACGATGGTAGGATAATAAAGATAATCTCAAAAGGCTGATCGCTTCCACTGTTCAGTATAATTCGCGACTTACAAGGTTGGTTTATGAGGTTCCGTCCTGTAAACTGTGGCAATTATTGTCTGTTTGATTTGGAGAACCAGTTCAAATACGGTGGGAACGAGGAACAATCATTAAAAGCTATCCTTTTGAAAATCAGACAAGGCACAATAAGGTGCCGGCACGGCGTGATTAACACGCAGGTTCATAACTAGCCTGGGCTTTTAAAAATTATTATCATTATTTCCCCAAAGTCTCTTGTTTGCGGACTGAAGTCGGCACTGTGTTTCCTGTGTTTCGTTTCTTAACGTAGTTACGTTAAAGCTACCCAGGTTCACAAATATTTGATACAATTATAATGCGAACTCTGAAAACACTTCGGGTGGTCTTCTGAAATCATGACCAATAATAATAGTATTTACATGTCAATACAGTTTCTTATTTTAATGCTTAATATGCATTGTAGTATCATGCTCACAAGCGTGTTCATTCAACCATTGACATTTTCTTTATACATACACGTATAATTATTCTAAAACATTGTGTGGCCACAGTATGGAACACTGGCGTCTATGGGGCAGCGGTTAGGCGTTTTGTCGTCATGAACAGAAGACTCAAGCTCGATTCTCGGGTGGGGAGACTTTTTCTCGAGTATCTCCGCCTTTCTATTTGTACATTGCGCTGGTCAGCAGGGTAAAAGCCCGCCTCTTAAGTGATCTAAATTGTGTCACCGAGGGAGTAAAACTCTACTTTAAGAATATATGGAAGCTCTTCGACGATAAAATTGCCACAAGGTTTCTCCAAAATTAAAATTGAAGAATTTATTTACCTTTATACCATGAAATAAATTATTTCAAACAGACAAAAGCCGCTCCAGCTACTCCCTACTTGTCACCATAAAGTAAAGTTAAACATAATCTCTACACAAGTTTATTTCAACCATTTGAGTCATTGGACTTGGACTGCATATGTTTTATCATTACTCATCTGAATAATAATCGTGAATGGCTAATTGCCCTTAGTCCTGTGAAGTCTAATTACTTGTTCAGGCCTTTAAATTACTTGTTTTTAATTGTTTCGTCGGTATTTTCTGTGCTCGCGTTTCGTGTAATGACAAAAGTTCGAACTTTCTGTTAAAGGGTTTCTAGGGCAAAAAGCTGCCCTTTTCAAGACTGTAAGACCAGCCAGAAAGTGGAATATTCAACATACGTTTTTTCATCTCTACTTCAAAACTATCATCAGTCAAATTCAACTTACCAAATAAGAGCGTGTGGTCGGAGTATAGTATTAATAATTTGCCGTCTTCTTGAAAACCTCTTCGTTCAAACAGATATGGAGTCCCACAGCACAGCGTCCAGGTAATACGGTGTCTAAATGTCTTTTCTATAGCCAGAATCGGGCTTTTCATACAACCTATCGATTACAGGGCTTCCAATTAATTGAAACAGAAGAAAAATATCAAGCGAAGCAAATCAATTAAGAAAAGAACTCGCGTATTATGAAATGCATATTCCAATAATCAGAAAATCTCTGATCACGAGTAGGATATTTCAAGAGCATTCACAGAGTGGCGATTTCTCTTTTCTTCTAACTCAAACTAGCATCGGGCCATGCGGTTAAGTATCAAAGTATACCCTGTAACCTTCTGGTATATAATATAACAAGCAGTATCTGTTGGCTTCCAATCGATAGCGGTTACCCAAACGCCGTATCAACAACCGCCATGGTAGTTCACCGATTGCTCATTTATTTGACCACAGCGTCCATTCTCGCAGAGTAGAGGGGGGTCATTCACTGCGTGTTTGATTTGGCTGTTGCTCAGATATGTGCAAGATAAACATGCTTGGTTTTAGCGTGCAGAAGAGAGCGATACGTAGGAGAACATGACCGGGTACAAGTATTGCCACACTATAAAGAAAAAAGCGAAATTCACTCCTTGATAATTTAAGGGTTTTTAGATTTTTATAGAGAGGTCTTAGCATATTATGTTTCCCGACCAATGCCGAAGGCTCTTTTGTTCCAATGTAGTTTTTAGTTCAACCACGTCTTTTCTGTTCATGTCAACTTTTCTCCAATCAATAGTTTTGTATTTATAGTGTTTTGACCGGGCTCTTTTATAGCTCAGTTGGCAGTTTTAAGAATTTGTCACGGAATTACGGGGAGACTCTAAACTGAAGGAACACACACACACACACACACACACACACACACACACACACACACACACACACATACACACACACACGCACACACACATGTACTGTACATGCACACGCACATAAATACACATACATGTACACGCACACGCACAACCACACGCGCGCATACATAGATACTTATACATATACACACACTCACTTACACACGTACACACATGCAAACAACAGATACTTAGAGGTGGGCCAGACAAGTAAAATAAATGAAATGTAAAAACAGCATAGAAAAAAATGTTACCTTATTCACTTAATTTTTGCTCAAGAAATTGTTTAATTGGGTAATGTAGTCTTGCTGAGTATGGGACGTGCGAAACCGTTCTACGAAAATAGGAACAATGTGGTTGCCTGCACTTTTTGATAGGGGAAAAGGAAATCTCAAGTAGCATAGTATTATGTGCCCTACTACATGCATTATAAAGTAGGTGACTTCTGAAAATACATCAGAATACGAAAGTAACATCAAATATTTCCCGCAATGAATCGTATAGAGTTGTCTTGTGTCGTGCGAAAATGTGAAGGTCATGTTGAAAGAAGACCATCATTGTATGGTTTTGAGTATTTTGTTGTTACTAGACAGGACATAAGAGGGTTGACACGTCAACCGAGGAACCTGGACAGAATATAATGTAAGTACAAAGAAGAGGTGTCACATTTATACCAGAGAGTTTGTTCTTTCCAAGTCTAGGAGGTTCGAAAAGTGGAAGATTCGGACAAAATAATGTTTGTATCTCTGAAAGAGAGGGGGTGTGATAGAGAGAAAGAAACCGAGTGGAGACAGAGAGAGAGAGAGAGAGAGAGAGAGAGAGAGAGAGAGAGAGAGAGAGAGAGAGACAGAGAGACAGAGAGACAGAGAGACAAAAAGACAGAGAGACAGAGAGACAGAGAGACAGAGACAGAGACAGACAGAGAGAGCAAGAGATTAAACGACAGATCAAGACGGTTAAATTACAGAAAAAGACAGAGAAGTAGATAAAGATACACCCACACACAAAGAGAGAGAGGGAGAGAGAGAGGGGGAGGGAGAGGAGAGAAAGATAGAAAAGCATACAGAGAGATATAAAGAAACACACACAAACACACACACACAGACACACTCACACACACACACACACACACACACACACACGAACGCACACACAAAGAGAGGGACAGAGAGAGAGGGAGAGAGAGAGAGAGAGAGAGAGAGAGAGAGAGAGAGAGAGAGAGAGAGAGAAAGAGAAGTTTTACTTCCCCATCGACGCGATTTAGAACATGAAGCAATGCGTATGCTTTAATCTTTGCTGTCAGGGAATACCGGCTCAGTGAGGCATGACAAAAAGACGGAAATACTTGATAAAATAAACCATCCAACTCGGGATTTGAACTCATATCGCAACGGTGAAGTCTTATGATTATACTGAGAGCGAGCAAGCGAGAGAGAGAAAGACACAGACAGGCAGACAGACAGACAGACGGACAGACGGACAGACAGACACACACACATACACACACACACACACACACACACACACACACACACACACACACATACAGACAGTGGTGGGGGAGAGAGAGAGAAACAGAGACAGAGAGAACGACAGAGACAGAGCGAGAGACAGTGAGAGACAGAGAGACAAGAGAGAGACAGAGAGAGAGGGAGAAGGGGGGTGGGGATGGAGAGAAGATGTGGATTGAAAACCAACAGATGGGGTAGACATCATGAAACTGTTGAATAATTTGCAATTGGAAAACAAAGATGTAGCAATGACGACTTTCGATAAGTAAAATTTATTGTTTTAGTAGAAGCATTACGGCGCTCGCAACTGCACAAGGTCATATGAGCGCCAAGGGGTGGGTGTCAAGAGAGAAGTCCATACAGGGAATCAGGCTTACTCTGCTCATCTCTCTAGCTTTAACAGCACAAAGTCTGCTTCGACTATCAAGACACCCCGGAAATAGCGGGTCACAAGAGTGTGTCAAACAAACCAAAGAAGTACAGGAAAACTAACGATAGTAAGGATAAGGAAAGAAAAAGCTGCAGTACCCTGTTGCAGTTCAGACACAGTTATGAGCATGACATTGATGAATCAGCCAATTTTCAATTGCAATTCTACTGTGCATAAGAACATGGTTAATGTCCCCCCTTTGGGGATGGCCTAAAGACACTTCAGTCAGTAGCACTGCTCCGCAGGGTAGCTAACTAAAATAGTTTGTATCAGAGTATACAAAAATAAAGAGAAATAAGTAATAAAGATTTGCGTGTGCTAGACTCACGTCCACAGTAGACCAGGACTTGCTGTCTTCGTTCGAGTTGGCGCTGTGGACTCCGGACCTTGAGACCTCTGAGTCTGTACTTTTTCCTCCAGTCTGAGGAATGAAAATTTTGACTGGTTATAGTTTGGCTATAAAACTCGACGTCTTCTAGGCAAAATGAAGACAAAGGAAAAGACGGATTGACGGAGTTACAAAACCCCTTCAAAGGAACAATACGGCGACCCCTAAGGCAACACACCCGGCCTACGCCCGACAATTGCATCTCTTTTTGACACCTTGCGGTACGAAAAGGCCGAAAAAAGTAAAAGCATACTATGAGTTATGGCAAGGTATTTTTAAACACCATTTTGTTTCAGAGGCAGGATCTTCAAATGTCATATTCATCTCAGATAGGAACGAGCCAAAATGCCCAAGACTGTCGGAAATGTTCCAAATAACCCAAATTCAAACAACAGAGTCCCACTGAGAATTTCAACTTGATTGATTCAGACTGTAGTCCGGCATGGAAGAAACTGAGTTATCGACACGTTAGGACTCTGTAAGTATGTAAGTAATTTTGTGCAACATGTTACGGCTATTAAAGAATACAGATTTCTGTGTCACATCGTGGTAAAACCAAGCGCTGGACAACGAACTGGAATCGAAGAAATTGATATTTTTCTGCCCGCTAGGCAGTTTTTATAGGCTTTTTAAAGTTCTTATTATTTTATTTTGGTGGGGGGGGTGGGGTCACCACCATTCATGTCCATTTAATAATACATTTATGTTAGCAATTTACTTAAAAACGGTGTTCGAAGACACCCAAATGGAAATGTGTTTCTAAGGACTCTCAAACTTTGGCGTCCATTTCTGTCTAAATGCGGAACAATCAACACAACTCAGAATCTCTGTTAAAATTGAATGTATTCAAAATCCAATATAGTCATCGTTTTCATAGCATTTAACTTCTTTTCCCATAAAAATCCCTCCCTTCTGATATTGCATGTTCAAAACACTCACGCTTCTCTTTTCCCCTGCATCATCATCACTTCCATCGCCTTTGTCTTTCTCGTCGTCAGTTCCACTACCAGAATTTCCATCTTCCGACTTTTCACTGCTGTCATGTTTCCCAAAAAACATACGCTCCAGGTCGACAGACTGTCTGTGTTTTGCAGTCTTCGAGGCTCCAAGGTATGTCTCAATGTATTTGTAAGTGTTCCGAATACTCATGAAGCTCACAGACTTCTCTGCTCCTGCGTCGCTGTCCATTTTCGCAGTTTGGCTTGAGGCGGTATTTAAATTTTTTTTCTCAACTTAACTGTCTTGAATAATTTTTGCACAGCTTAATATATAACAGTGATCGAAAGAAACAGGCAAGATTAGCTTTTTATAGTCAAGCTACTGTAATAGCAACAGCAAGAATCAAAATTGAATGATCAGCACAGACTTTGATCCCTTCCTTACAGGATAGGTATCTAGTACTTCAATCGACGATCTCCAGCTGACTCTGTTTCTATATGATATGCTGTTGTATATTAATGCAAAGGATCAGTTCAAACTTTCGCACAGTGCTTCCAGGATCGTCTGTTTGAGTTAGTTAAACACTTTCAATTTCCAAATATGGCTACTACGGAAGGTCAGTAAACTGTGTACACGTCACAGTAATCTGTCAGCGTTTTGTTACTCTTCGTTCGTTGGCTTTTTTTTTTCTTGATCTGCCGTTGCCTTCTGTTCCTTATTCACTTTCATTCTCGCTCTCTCGCTCTCTCCCCCTCTCTTTCTTCTTCTCTCCTTCTCTCTCCTTCTCTTTTCCACTTTCTCTCTCTCTCTCTCTCTCTCTCTCTCTCTCTCTCTCTCTCTCTCTCTCTCTCTCTCTCTCTCTCCCTCTCTTTCTTCTTCTCTCCCTCTCTTTCTTCTTCTCTCCTTCTCCCTCCTTCTCTTTTCCACTTTCTCTCTCTCTCTCTCTCTCTCTCTCTCTCTCTCTCTCTCTCTCTCTCTCTCTCTCTCTCTCTCTCACACACACACACTCACTTTTTCAACCTCCGTCTCTCTTTTTAAGTGAACAACTCCTTGTATTCTGTTATCACACTTTGTATCTGTATATTAAATTCTCTGGTACAGCATCGGTAGGATTACGGAACTCTTAAGATTCACAAGATAAGGCAGTTTCTGGAAAGAGGTCCTCTACGTAGAAATCTGCTCCAATTATCGAAAGTCCTCTTGGAATTTTGGAAATAGAAAACGGTTTGCTATATCAGCCACGTTTACAAGTAGGTGGACAGTTTTCTTCTTCTCTGGTGTAGTAAGACGCCCCGTTCCGTGAACAAAACATGGGCTTACTTACGAAATGAACAAATATATCTATCAATTATGCTTGGAATTTAACACGAAATCACCCAAAGAAAGCACTGGCTATCTGCACAAGACAGGCATAATGGTCCATCTCGAAAAGTCTCATACGTCTTTGTGTTGCCAATGAACAACAAAAGCAAAATAATAACCTGCAGTGAATAACGGCACTGCCATTCAAAACGCTTCAAACTTTCTTTTTCTAGGAACCGTGGGTACTTCATTTGCTTTTTACCTCCGACTATAAGACAGCAAAAATCTTTTTTTTTTTAATGAATGAGATTCGATGTAAGCCTGTGGGTATTCTAACCGAACAATGATTTCAAGAATCCTGTGTCCGCAGTCCGCAGAAAATGAGTAACGATAATATCTAAACTGAAGACAACATCCGCTTTGGCAGGACAAACACGCAAAGTTTTCTCTGGCGAATTGATCCTTTTCACTTTGATAAGGAGCAGGGAAGCCCTCACCGCCTGCCAACAGGACGACGCGTCACTTACACGAGAACGTTATCTCTCTCTTTGGGCCACTACGCAGGACGACAAAAGGCTATTCCCCCACGCCGGTCCAAGTACAGCACTCTTTGTCATGGTCCAGCAAGACACGAAATAATATGTGTCAGGGTATTGTCACAGCCAGATTTATGTAACCGAAAGGTTCCCCCCTTCTCTTTTGCTTCGATTTCGACGAAAGGGGCGGTAAGGAGTAGGGAAGCAAAGAATACAATTAGCTTCCAATAAGGAATTGACACTGTTCTCACATCTGTCTTGTGGTACCTCTGTGAGCATCTATGAAAAACAAACTATGTGAAAATGATTGGGTGAATACTTGTAACAAGTGGGTCACTTAGTAGTGTATGCGATTTTAATGGTATTTGTTTTCACATTTTTTCAAGATTGTTTGGCACTTTCTATTTATCTCAATAGGTTTTTTCATTTTTCTTTCCACACTCGCTCTACAGGCAGTTGAAGTGCACCACTTGTAGGTCCTTGTTGTCTTTCCTTCTGTTGTTTCTTTTTATCCGTCTTACGTCTGCCACATATTGAATGATCACCATTCTTTTAATGTCCTTCTCTTAACTCAAACGTTGAATTTCTAAAGCATTGGCTTGATTGCAATCTGCTTATAAACTGATATATTGCTTTCTCTGTTTTGTTTAGGGTGACGAAACAGATAAGTCAAAACATGTAAAGTGACGACAAAAATTGATAAACGGTATTATAAATCGTTAAGGCACATAGAGCTCGCTGTTGAGCGTGGATATGAGCTATCTAAATGCTATTTCTTTCTTTCTTTCTTTCTTTCGTTCTTTCTTTCTTTCTTCTTTGATTTATTTATTCATTATTCATTTATAAATCTAGTTACTTCCAATTTTCAAAAGGCAATAGGAGGAAGCTTTTCTAGAGCATAGGGTCCAGCTCCACGGAGACAAATAGAAATTCTTAAACTTCAGTCATTCTATCAAAAACGTTCTTATCCTCACTGCAGAAAGGGAAATTACGGTGAAGTGACTGATAAATGTATTATTAGCGGATTACAAAATTGTCTAATATGTGACTAGTTGCGGTTCGAACCTGTCAAGGATAGATAATTAGAGAAGACATGTACATGTTTCCATTTCGTCAACCATCGAATTTATTGAGTAGTATTATCTTTAAGATAAAATAATTTGAACACATTCATTATTTTGCCCCAATAGTTCTTTTTGTGAGATTTCTTTGTCATTTGGGATCTTTTCTATGGGGCTGTGACTATTACTTCCTTTCTTCTCAAGCACGAATCCATAGAAAAATTCTTCCACTTCCTAAAATCTAGACTGAGTCTACTGGGCAGTGCCATACAACAACTCAAACAAGAGGGGATTAATGGGCTGGACCATCCGAGCGTAAATGTTTGTGTATGGGGGGCGGGGGGACGGTGAAAATAGAGAGAAAGAGAGAGTGTGTGTGTGTGTGAGAGAGAGAGAGAGAGAGAGAGAGAGAGAGAGAGAGAGAGAGAGGGGGGGGGGGAGAGAGAGACATAATAAAGATAAATCGTTAATGAAACTGAAGAACTAACCAAAGAAGAAAGATTTACGTGTCAAGTTGTCATTGAATACTACCATATAATTTTGCAATGTGACTTTTTAAAATTTTTTCCAAAGCCCTTTCTTTTCTTTCCCCCACCCCCTTTCCCAAACCTGTCCTTCCCCATTCTTCTTCTTCATCCCCACTGTATTCACTGAGAAACGTGGATAAAAAAACGGTATACCATTCTCAATCAGTGTGCCCTTGATCGATATGAGCAGACAGTGTAAAAACCAAGACCCCGACAGTTATAGCAGCTCCACTGCAAAATAGAGTCGAACCGAAAACATTTTGCCTCACTCGGAGTTGACATTAACGACAAGGTGGCTAGGCCTAAATTATGGATCTTGAGTTGTTGTCAGTTTTAATTTCTTCAGACTATCTTACAACTATTTCAGAGCATAAAACCCCCCAAAATCCTCATTTCTTTCCATACCGGGCATGTTTGTCACCAGCATTTCCTAATAAAGTCAATCTTTTATTTTTCTTTATCGCCCGTTTTCTCAAAACACAGTTTTTCTATACTTTTTAAAAAATAACTCCACCATTTTTCATCCAATCTTCATGAAGATTTCACAGAATAAAGAGAAGGTGTAATGCTAAAAGCATCATTGTTGAAAATTTGATAAATGGAATAGATTTGTTTTTGGTGGTGTTTGGAGTGTGAATTTTCACGGATTCTTTACAAACTTGAATACTACCTCCGGAAAAAAACTCCTTAAAAATTCTCTAAATTTGTTTAGGAAATATTCAATAACCGAATATGTAGATTTAATGTTTGTTAACATGCATAAAAAAATTTAATATATTTCCATAAAAAATCAGTGCGGTATTCATTACGTAACAATGTCAACGAGATCGAATA